GCCCCTGCTGCGTGGCCCCCATGTATTACCATTGTGATGGATTCCGATAAAAGTTGGTCGAGCTGAATCCAAATATCACATTACACTGGGCATCTATGAGCCAGCAGTAACATACTTGGGTTACTCTATCGTCACTTTTCAGTAGGAGCCAATCGTCTATTCTTCGGGTGAGGAGGTAAATGCACTGGGCCTAAATCGAAAATTATTTTTTTTCTTAAGCACTTGTTTCTGAATCGTAGCCTTAAGACATAAAGATCTGCATACAAACCTAAAGAAATCCACTTGTGTAGCAAGTGCAAGTATTTCGCAACATAATGGCTACTCTACAGTTTGTAATTAAAATTCATTTTGAATGAGGGGCACTGGAGAGAGAGAGACTTTGGGTGGAATTTAGTGTGACTGTGAGAGACCTAGCGTTAGACAATAGGATTAATTACAAGTAATGGCAATTTGGGTCACTGTGAAGGCTTTCTAGAAAATATTGATATATTTTGTTAGTTTTACAGTTTTTTACTGTCAAAACTTTCACTTGTGGATTAATTCAGTGATTCCACGCTGTACAGTAGATGGCGGTATTGTTTCTCACAAGAGTGCCCTCTGCACTCCTTTTCCAGTGTCGTGTCTCCTCCACTCTGTTAAAATGACTGCAATGGGATACAGAGTTTTGAGCCACTGTAGAATGCACTACGCTTTCCTTTGGTTTCCAACTTGTCAGCTGGACATATGAACATTTCCAAAATGATAACTTAAAATCTACCTACTCATATCAGCCTATTCACTTGTTATGTTTTTATGATCTTCCATTTGTTTATTTTGTATGTTGACATCATAGATATCTTTGTGTGCCATAAAAGGCACTAACAAATAATTAATTAGCTTATTATTAATTGTTAACACATAGAAGTGTGACTTTGGTGGCATGATTTATTACATATTTTATTTTTAGTAGTAGTAGTAGCTTTTTATCAGATATATAATGTTTGAAGTAAAAAATAAAAATAAAAAATTCAAAGTACATAGCATAAGCAAAACTAGTGTTAAAAGTTTGTGTCATCAAGCCAGTGTATTATTTATTTATTCAATTTATTGTTTTCATCACCGGTGCAAGACCCAAAATAAAATATGGCCAATTGCCATACTTTCATTTGATTATTTAAGGGTAAATCAGTAATACACATACACATACATACAGTGCACAAGTAAAAGATACAATTCCAAAGCATTCTCCTGTTACCTGAATGAATTTTTTTTTTTTAAGTTAGTATAAGAAGGATGAGCTGGTTTTGTGGTGTGTTCCTACATAGGCTATAGATTGCATGTTAAATAGACAGGAAAGCTATATCATAGTTATTAGTGGTTTTATTAACAAAATAAATCCACCATACATTCTACATACATGCTCTGAAAAACAAAATAGGCTTTTTCTTTTTCAAATGAATGCAATATGATTCCATACTAAAACATTATTGAACTCAAAGACACATTTTCAGACCATTTTTCAAAAGTACAGCATATCATGGTTCATGATCATACTGATTTTTTTAATTAAGTTAACTTTATGTGATTCTTTGCCTTTGTGTCCTGGGTCTCCTGAGCTGCCCAGTTGGTCACTAAGAGGATTAACAGGGACAGTGGGGAAAGAGGTCTAACCTACTCCTTGGCCCAAAACTTATATAAAGTCTTCAAAAGTAACTCTCTTCCATTCCAGCACATCAGGTGTTTGGTAACATTAAACAGGACTATTCAATGTGTCCCATTTTTATATGTTGTCAATGTGAAGCTGCCAGGCTTTGATGGTCATGTTTGGTTCCCCCTGAATGGGTGGAAATAGTATGTCTATGCTCAGAGACTCGGAGACTGTGTGCGGCGGGAGGAGTCCATGGTTCTGGTTCCTGTCCGGCCTCTAGGTCCTTCGACCCATGGTTTGGGAATTACTGAAGCCCCACATGAACTCCAATGTGGGAGGGTTGTTTCATTTTGACAGAAGACAGAGCGGGCATCCTGGAAGGACACAGAGGGAATGATCTGTTCCACCAGGTTGTCTGTGGCTCGAGTAATTGTCTTTGGGGACGCAGGACGGGAAGTGCTGGATTGAAGCCTCACAGGTGGACTGGGGTATCTGTGACGCACTGGTGGGCATGATGGAGGTAACCGCACTCTGGATACTGGTGGTGCTATAACAGGCAGGCTAAAGGATGCATCACCCTCATGGGCATCAGAGCTGTCTCTCCTCAGAGTGGGCTGCAGGGGTCCTGCTGCACTCCGGATGTGAATGATAGCACGCGCCTTTTGGTACAAACTATTGTCAGGGTCCAGAGCTGCTTTCTGATGCTGTCCCTCTTCTTGGGAGGACACAATAGCATCTTGTCTAACCGGATCACCAGAACAGACATTGATCAATTTTGGCTTAATACTTGCTCTGTTTGGCAGAAGCTCTACTGAAGTCTTCAAACGATTGGGTAATCCTTGTTTTTTGTTTATTGCTGATAAACCACAATTGTGATATTCTTTTTCAATTCCTGTTATGCTTTCAGTTATTTGAAAGGAATTGTCCATCAATACCTCTGGTGGGGGTGGGGGCAGGATGTCCTCATCTGGATCCTCTCTGCTATCTGTCCGGACTTGAGCACCCTCTGCTGGAGTGTTGAACAGTGTCTTCCTGGTTGTCCTGATGTTAGTCGATGGATTACTGAAGGAGTTGATCAGCCTTCTCACAGAGGGGGGTTTAGGGCACTGCAATGCAAACACTGGATTTGTTTTACTTTTATTTGAGCCTGCTCCAGAGATTGAGTGCCTTCGTACCCCGGTCCTATCAAGATTGGTTTCTTGTCCAGCTAAAGGCTTTCTCGTGACTGAACTTTCACTCACAGTTTCTGTTTGTGGTCTATGTCTGTTAGTTTGCATCTTGTGCATGTTCAAAAATGCCTGGCTAGGATCTGGAGGGGATGAGTTGGACCTTTTTCGTACAGACACGTCATCATCTTCATCAGTGTCATCATCCTCTTCTTCCTCCTCATTATGCTCATTTGCAGAGTTATTGGGTAGAACAGCACGGACATTGGCTCCTGAAGTACTGCTCCCAGACCCAGCACTGTCCCTGTGTCTTCGCTGTCGGTCAGAGCCTGTCAGACTGTCATTCTCTCCCCCAATGCCACTATCCTCACTGTGCAGTGCGGAATCTTCAGGGTTACTCTTCCCCATTGCAGCTGCCTCAACTTGGGCCAGAACCAGGGCTATCCGTTGCTCAGCATTGTGCTTGGCTTTCATTTTTCTACCTAGCACTTTGGAGAGAGATGTGAAGTACTCAATAGTGTCCTCTAAAGTAGTGTCCCCCACAGTTTGGAATGACCCTCCCACATGCCTCATCTTCTCAGTGGAATGCCTGAGCAGTTGCTGGAGTAGGTCTGGAGATGGGTCAGACTGACAATCTTTATCGTTGCTTGATTTCAGTGCTGATATTACGGCTGGGCCCATCATGCCGGAGGGTAAAGCCATGTAGTCCCCATGTTCTTTTAGCATCAATTCACCCTCCTCCGCCATCTCCTCCAGAGCCTGGTTGATCTCTTCAAAACGCAGGACTAGAGCAGACATCATGGGCTGAAGGGAGAGCTGTGTCTGTGCCGCCTGGTCCAGCAGTTCTAATAAACTCTCAAATTTAGAGATGTTTGGATTGAGAAAGTTATAGGCCGCCTGGTGGGCTCTCACCATGTGTGGGGAGAAGTCCACTTTAGTGATGGAGGGCTTTCTGAGCTTTCCATTCAACCTTTGTTTTTTCTTGTTTCTGGGTCTATGTGTTCCCTTCACTTCTTCTGTTTCTTGGACTTCGGCGACTGTTTCAGGTACTATCACATCCATTTCATTTTCCTTAACATTGTTTTCGGAGTCCGTAACAATCTGGCAATCTTGGTCCGGTGCATATTCTTTGCTGGGGGGTAGAGGCACACTTGCCTCCACTTTTTCCTTTTCTGTTAGTTCAACACAGTGCAGTGGTGCTTCCTCCAGTGGGGCATTTTCCAGGGTAGATCCATTTTCAGGTTTAGAGAATAACTTTCCTTTGGATGGAGAGCAGCCCATTGTGGGAAGTTTTCTTAAAGAGTCCCACCAAACTAACAGTCCAGTTTGAGCGTCTGACAAACAGCTCCTGAAGAATAGTAAGACACCTGTAACCTGCTGAGGAGAGCTTAGTGAGGGAGGCTGGGATAAAGCGGATTGAGGGATTTGTTTCTCTGTAGCGCAGATGGCTAAGGTAGCTTCACACACACTTGAGGTCTATCAGGTTGGACCATAAGCCTGCCCGATAATCAGCTGCTGTTTTTAGATGCACTCCCTGCCACAGCTGAAGTCTCTGTCAATAATAAGGTGACCACAAACAGAAAACTAGAACAAAACAGGCCTCCAGCTGCCCAAATGTCCTCATTTTGTTTTAAATTATACATTAGTAAATAGCATATATAAATTTCAGTTAATACAGTAATAAAGGGCTCATGCAGCTCTTGCTGCCATAAAGAAACACCTTTCACTGATCTCTAGTTTTAAGTCCCAGTTTTTTGGGCAGTTCTACATTGGGCACTATTTTGTACAATCCCCTTTTCACACAGATAATTTTAAGGACTTTTCTGTATTAACATTTATATTTTAACTGAATTTTGTTCATAACTTTAACAGCTAACTGCACTGCATCATATGATAATGCCTGGTATTTGTACTTTGTGGCAATTAAGTTTCAAGACTTCACAGAGTAACCAAGACAAAAAACACACAGGGATTCCTACAGTAAATATGGCATAGCATTAGCCTATATTAACACTAGCGTGCTTTCCAGTTCTTCCTGCTGGACTCTTTTTCTGTCTCTGCTTTGAGTAAAAATAAAAAGGGGATACTTCCAGTCACAAATTCAAATAGTTTTCACATACAGTTTAAAAACAGGGACTCAGTTGAATGATTTTGTGATTACCATGTTGTTAATGAACAAAGCTGAAATCTACTCCTTCTCCCTGAAGATAGAATTGTTTAATTACTGTTAGTGGTATGCATACACAGAATACAGACATTTTATGCAGTTCATTCAAATAAAAAAAAAACATTTCTCAAGTCATGGTTCACTTGAAGACCTTGCATCAAAAAGACATTTTCAGGTATTTCAAGAAACCCTCTGGTTTGCACAGTACTCACACAATCCACTCTCACTCCATATAACTCATTCAGTTCAAAAAATAAAATAAAATTTAGAAGGCATTTAATTGGAAGGCATCCTGTCTTAGTATAAATAGTTTTTAGTGGTTTGTAAAGGTTTAGCTTTGAAATAAAATCTAAGAGGGTGTTGTGGTAGACAGAACATAAGGGTGTGTGTATCAGGCCTGAGTCTACAGGGGTGTAAAAGGGTGCATTGCACCACCTTGAAACCCTGATGCACCCTCAGTTAGTTTGGACTGCACCCGAGCCTGGCGTGTGTCTATGCCATATGACTCTGTATGTCAGTACGGTATAGTCACTGATTAAAACGTGTGGTCCTGATCGTGGAGGACCCAGCTCCCTGACTGGTCATTGTCATTTTCCAAGTTTTAAAGCACCTTTGACCAATGTGTAACATAGAAAGAAAATGAACAGTTAATCTACAGCTTATAACAGCTGTGTTAATGAAAAAAATACTTCTATGATATGACAACATTTATGTTACATTCATTGTCCTTGAGATTTACACAGTTTTTTTTTTTTTTTTCAATAACTGGCTTAAAGTCCTTTTACATTACTTTGTTGCCCAGGTTTGTACTGCAGCTACAGGGTTCTGTCATTACAACGGGGTGGACCACAGCCCAGTCCGGCCGGTTTGAGAGAGGAGGGGATGGGCAGCTGGAGCAGGCTGTCGGAGAAGGTGGTGGGGCTGAGCTGCTGGAGGACAGTCTGCATGGCACTGAGTAGAAGGGGGGCTGGCCTGAACCCTGCAAGGTACTCCACAGCGTCATGGCCCAGGGCCCCACTCCAGCGATGGGGCTCTGTGCGCAGTGCCTCCCGCAGGTGAAAGTGCACCTTGGGCATGAACATGAGGAGCGTGTCCAGACAGTGGCGCCGTCCTCTGCTGGCCTTCTCACAGTCTTTGAGCGGCTCCAGCAGGACGTCCAGAGCGGTCCAGCCCTGGGCATCAGGGACTGCTGGGGACACACCACTGCCCAGCAACAGCAGCACAGCTTCAGGACGGACCAGCTCACAGGCCAAGTGCAGGGGGGTCCGGCCATCGCCCTGCATGGTAACAAGTTATTAGCCCATAACAAGTATACGTTATACAGTCTATGTATTCAGGGAAGGATAATGGATACATTAAGACCTAATAAACACTGGTTTAATAAATTAAGTCTGTCAATAGGCCTATCATACAAATGTCGGTATGATTTATTTAGGCCTAGTGCTAGAGGCTACAATGTAGGCTAGAGTCTGCTCCTTATGTAGAACGGACCGTTTGTGTAAGTCTGTTCATAACATTCATTGTGATTACATTTAAGTTAGACTATTTAAATTAAAACAATAATTGGTTTGTTCGCACCTGTCGGACACAGCCCTCTCTGACAGCAGGGAGCCCGCTGGGGAGCCGGTGAGCAACTTGCAGGATGAGACCAAGGATGGAGTGCCTGTCATAACGGACGGCCAGAGACAGGTGCGGGGCTGGTGTCGGGCAACTGCAAAAGCGCTCTCCAGGATCCACCAGCGCCTCTTCGGGGAAGTGTGACAATAAATACTGGGCATAAGCCTGGTGGTCGTGTACAATGGCGTAAAGCAGCGCCTCCGACGGACTGTACGTTTTCTGAGAGTTGTCCTCGTCGTCGGGACACAGGGCCAACATGGTCCGCATGTCCTCCAGCATCCACACGGGCTTCAGATCCCGCACTGCACGGTAAAACAACAAGGACAAACAGCGGCGCTGTTCTAGGCACACGGCTGAAGACATGGCGTACACCCACGGCCAGTCACTACAATCTCTGTGGCTCCAGGAGTAGGACAGCGGGTCCCCACCACAACACCATGTCAGGCAATCCTCCTCTCAGCCTGTGTACAGTATCAGTCCGTCCGTTTGCGACCCACATTCCGATACTATACTGACAGCTGCCATCCGCAGGCCTGTAGCGCGCATGCGCGATGATTACGTTTTCGGCAAGCTTCCCAAATGCGGCAGTTTTAATGTAATAAAGAACAATCGCCACAAGGTGGCAGCACTTCTCCACAAGTTAGTGGAGAAGTGCTGCCGCTTCTCCACTAATTTATGCTTCTGGTTAGGCTGCTATAGCTATAGCTTGTAGCTTATAGAGTCAGTGGAGTAAACAAATTCTGCAACTACACGATCGGTAATTAGCCTTAACCTAATGGGTAGACTATATAGCCTATTTATCACCTTCATTGGCCCCTTTAATTTATTATAGACTGAAACAGAAACAGACCTGTTTGCACTGAACACATAGCCTATACTGAGGTTCCATGTTTTTAGGGACATTATATTAATTTGATTTCCTGGAGACTGATCCCAATCTACCCATAACTATTACATGGCTAACCCTTAACCAACCAAGTATACCCATATATTGATTATAAACAATGTCCATGACCATGATCTAATAGTGATGGGACCTAATGTATACTATGTATAGCCTACAACCCAAAACATGATACATAGGGGCACTGAGGCATCCACACCAGGACACTGAGGGTAGGGATTTGAGGGAATTTTCACTGCAGTAGTGCAGATTTAGATGTGAATGAACAATATGCACAAACAAAACAACTAAACATTTATTGTCTTAAGTCTCAAGTAGGCCTCGATTTCCTAAAAAGGTTTAATAGACTTGTGTGCAGTTGCTTCAGATCAGTGCAGTAAAGCAGTGTTTCTGAAATTGTGGTTCATGTTCTACTATGGTACGCAGGGCGATACACAGATTTTGCTGCAGTTCACTTAACGGTGCTACAGTATTTAACAATATTTTCCCCATTGAGATTTTAGGGTTTTGCCTGGAATGCTCCACAAGACCTAATGTGTAATTGCATAAACATTTAGTTTATATATGATACTGTGGAACAGGCAAAGCAATAGCATTTTAATAACACAAGCAGGCTTTGTACCCTCTACCTGATCTTTTATAAAATGCATTTTTGGATTAGACCTTGTTTGTTTTAGATGTGGTTTAGGTCTAGTTTAGACCTAGAATAGTTCATTTATAGGTTTAGATCCGATAGTCAGAAGGCCAAATTCTTTCTTAGGTGAACTGTGTGAGAACAGCCGCTGTTAAATGTAGATGAAGTGTAACAAAATGGGTTTTAAATGTACAGGAAGGAACTTGTCCTTGTCCAACAGACCTCAGGCACCGCCTTTAATGCTCCCTTACAGTCACCCTGATGTTTCTAGACAAAATTTTCTCCCTTTTTTGTTTTGGGTCACCATTCAATTTTCTGGCAGAGTAAATTAAATGTGAATGATAGTGAGTATGTTAGGTCTTAAACATATATGCTTTCCAAAAAAAAAAGCAAAACTGTCTAATCTTGTTAAGATGTTTTATAATTTCACTGAATCAACTTCATTTATTGACTTATATGGGACACTGTAACTTCAAAGGCTGTTATCTAATGTTTATGATTTATGAGTAAAACTTTGACCATTATTGCACATAAAACTCCTTATCTCCATATGAAAACATTCAATTATGATATTTAATGTTTGTAAGTAAACTACAGAAAAAGTATTAACTAATGTCCACTATATATCAATAAGCCCCACTTTAAAACAGGAGATACTTGTATTGAGGTTTAATATTTTGTAACACTGCATGTTAAACAAACCCAAGTCTGTTAAATCATTGTCTTGGTGTTGGATTGTTTTTCCCATAGCCACTGTCCTATGTGTACCATAACAGATAAAACAAAAAATATAAAATAACAAAGACTTCACCATCACTAATTTGGCAATGAATAATAACATGTAAAAATAAGCAATTACAGAAGTGAAGGATGATGCCTCTGAGCACAGCATCCATATACAACTTCCATATCTGTCATACATTTTTATAAAAGCACACATTTATTTAAATAGCTATACACTGCACCAGAGAGTCAGAGGTAACTGCATCCAAGGGTCTGCCCATTTTAGCGTAAAATAAATCCATATTCATTTTTTATTTTGGTGAGAATACAGACTTACCTATATACAAAATTATCACATGAAATGTAGATTTTTTGTGTGAAAATAATGCACAGAAGGTTACAAGTGTACTTTTTGTCAGTTCTAAAGTAGAGTGACTAGAGAAGGTATACAGTGTTAAACTAAATAAGTTTGCAACTCATTGTGTGAGGAAACAGGTATTTTTGTGAGACAAAAAGTAAAAACAGTTTTTGTGTATAAAATTAGATATCAAAGAATGTTGCCAAAATAAAACAGAAACATATCAGAAATGAAGAAATTGAACAAAACAATAAAAACAAAGAACGTATAAAAATTGAGTACACCTGTATTTACACATTTGCAGCTTAATTATATATGACAGCTGCTTCATATAGCATCTTTAGTATTTTTCTTTAGCGCCTCCCTCTGGTCTCTGCACAAGCACAACTCAGAATCTGCTGTGTGGTCTACACAGTACTTTCCAAGACCCAGTCAGCACTGTCAGGAGAGCTTCCACTGCCCCCAGGGTCTCCCTCATCCTCACTCTGGAGCAGCGTGCCATTCACTGACATGCTCCTCTTAGTCCAAATGCGGCTAATGCGACGTGGCCGGCTGGAGCGCCGGTTGCCTGCACCCGTGTCCCCCATGTCAAAGGACTGACTGCGCCTGGGCCGCTCCAGAGGCAGCATGAGTAGTCTGCTGAGGCGGGAGTCCAGTGTCCGTCCAAGCAGCGGTTCCTGTTCTATAGGGTTACTAATTCTTACAGATGTGCCACCAACAGCCACAGCGTCCCTAGGCTGCCCCCCACGCAACTCCATAGCAGTGAGGGCACCAAGCAGATGGTCCAAGTTGTGTCTGGGCTTAGGGGCCGCAGACCTCCAGATGTGGGCCAGTGTGCTGTTGGGGCTGTTGGAGCACCCGGGCATGGAGCCGGACGAGGAAGATGAGGATGTGAGGCTACTCTGCAGAGACCCACATTTAAACTGCACCACCTCATCTCGAAGTGCCACCGCTACTTTCTCCTTGGGGCCAGAGGGATCTGGAGCCCGGGATTGGGGTAGAAGCAACCCATTTGGCCCCAAACGCCCCCCATTTGTCTGTGAGTGCATGTCTGTGAAACCGCTCATTTTCCCCAGGGGCTCGCTCTCTGCTGCTTTGTACCTCACCATGAGGATCACAATGAATACCAGCAGTGTGGCCACGATGACCCCTCCCACCACCAGGATCATGGTGCCCCCTAGCAGCTGGCTGGGCAAGGCCTGGCACTGCGGATACTCATCCAGGGTGAAGAAGTTCGTGCAACCCACTACATTGGTTGCTGTTAGCGTGGTGGCCGTGTCATCCCAGGCTGCCAACACACATAGATCATAGCGTGTGCCAGAAACCAGATTGGTGAGGAGAAATGACTGAGAAGAAGAAGGGATCATCCTGAGAAGAGAGAAAAATTGTCAGAGGACTAAGTTCTATATATTGCAGCTAATAAAGAATGTAATAAATGTTAATAATTGAATAATTAGATAAATTCTGATGCCACACATGCCTTATGCAACAATATTACAATTCATCAATCAATTATGATTATTATAAAGAGATCTAAATGTCCTGAGTGAAATACTGAATAAAATCTTCTTAAATGGTTACACAAGGTTATTATTTGAAAATACATTATGAGATAGAAAGCCCAAGAAGATAGTATATATTTAATACAATACATAGCAGTGGTACCTGTAGATGAGCACCTCATCATCAGAACAGTTGTACTGGAGCTGGTACATCTTCACTTTGGGGGCCGTGTTACTGACTGTCCAGGTGACCAGCGCTGACACACCTGTCACCTCTGACACACTGACCTCCTTCTCAGGAGTGCTCTTCGGGGCCCCTTTGCTGACCCTAGTGGTACTTGTGATGTCGGAGAGGCGGGACTTGGGTTGTGCAGGTTGTCCGGTGCCGTTACTAAGGTGTGGAAGCTGCACAATGGACACTTCAACAGGTGCTGTGGACTCCCCCGCCACATTGGCCGCGATGCAAGTAAAGGTCCCATAGTCCTTGGAAGTGGTGATGGTGATGCTCAGAGTGCCATTGGCATACACAGCAGTTCGGGAGGAGTTTCCGAGGAGACGGTCATCTGGAGCGATCCAGTGGATGATAGGGGCAGGGTCCCCACTGGCTTCACAGCGTAAACTCGCAGTCTGGCCTTCTAAAACCAGCATTCTGTGAGTATGCTGCAAAATTAAGGGAGGCTGACACAGGAACTCCTCTTCTTTTAAATTCCAAAAGTAGCGCCCCTTCAGATTAGGTGGAGAGGCGCAGGTTTCTAGATCATCATCTCTGTCCAGCCTTCTCAGCCACAGAAGTTCACAGTTGCAATGTAAAGGGTTCCCTCCAAGACTCAGGGACAACTGAGGAGCAAAGGGCGTGGTCAGGATCATGGAGTCCTGAGCGCGGGCAAAGATGGGATCTGGAGGCAGTTTCTGCAGACGATTAGAAGTCAAGTCCAGTCTAGCTAATCTCTCCAAGTCCTTAAAAGTTCCTTCTGGAATGTAGTCCAGAAGATTATGGTCTACACTCAGCTGATGAAGGTTGATCATCTGCCGAACAGAGTCCCAGGGCAGAGACATGAGGTTATTATAAGAAAGGTCCAAGTCCTCCAAAGCAAGAGCCATGTCCTCAAAGGCCTTGTCATGTATTCGACTCAGCTGATTATTGTTGACAATGAGGTGCTGAAGGTTGATCAATCCTCGAAGATCATCTGGACCAAGCTCTGTCAGACGGTTGTTGTCCAGATGTAGTGAGCGCAGTGTCTCCAGGTCTCCAAAAGAAAAGGGCTGTATGTAGCTGATAGTGTTCCGGGAGAGAGTCAGGTCCACCAGGTCAGTCATGTTGGCAAAGTCTAGCTGAGTGATACGAAGAATGTAGTTTCCACCAAGGCGCAGCTCCACTGTCCCGCGGTCGATGTCCGGAGGCACAAACAGGAGTCCTTTGGATGGGCATAGCGTCCCCAGGGACTCAGACAGGTTCTGGCACGAGCAGTACTTGGGGCAGGCTTCTGTGGTCATCACTGTAGCTCCAAGCAGCAGCAGGCACCACAGGAGGCGCTCCATGGCCCAGTCATACACACCGGCCTGTGGAAGGGCACACGTGAGAAAAGCTGTTTCCATTGTAAAAGACTGCAAACATTTTACTAAACCTTACTGCTGAAAAAATAAATATGTCTATCCTTAGAGCACAGGACATGACACAAAGGAAATTACACAAACGCCTGTTTCAGCTGTTTGCGCTGATGTAAAGCAGACTAAATGCCGTACAACAAAATAAATATTACTGAAATAAATAAGTTGAAGGATGAAATTGTTGTATGTATACTTGACATCAGGTCCATACAATGCAGTGGTGTGCATGTGCCTGGATGTGTGTTAGGTCATAATAAAAACATCCTACTTGATATGATTGATATTTATGTTCCAGATAAACATGTTCTTTGAATGTATTAGATAATAAACTTATCGTTCTGTAAACACAAGGAATCCATTAATTTATTGGGATTCCTTCATGACCCCCTAAAGTAATTTTCATCCTCTTTGTTGCCTCTACCTTCAAACAAAATCCAAACTCGCACAGATGTTCTTTATATTTCCTATATTTCCTCATTTTTAATCTTATGAATCATTATAATCTTTGTATGAATGAGCATAACATTTATGGTGGCCCTGAAGGTTCAGTTGCTGTCAGAGTCTGTTGGATGCAGGCGACTTGCCCTGTCCTCAGCATCAGGGGTATGGAGCGCATTAACAGCAGTGGTGTGAAAAAGCTGTGGATTATGTAAAAGTCTGACACTGATACAGTCCCAGACACTCCACACAGCAGGTCTAAACCCCTAGCCTGCTTATTGTTCTGTGCTGCTGGCTTTGGGTTCAGTCATAAACTCAGGAAAGAGTTATTTTTAGCATGTCATAAAGTGTATTGTGTATTTAGTAAAAAAAAAAAAAAAAAAAAAAAAAAAAAAAGAGGCAGATTAAGAAAGACATGATGATCCCCCAAAAAGCCTGCTTAGAGCACTGAGACCAGTTTGTTATGGCTAACACTGTTGATGAAAAAAGAGTAAGCACCTGTTTTTACTCATTATAAGTAACCATTTACTTGTTGAAGCATCAGCTTGAGGGAACAACAGTGGAGTTTCAGTGGATAATCATTTTAAAGTGAAGAATATTCCAAGCAAAGCAGGTGCTTGTACGATTGACACTGAGAACTGAGCTGGTGAGTGATTATGTTAATACAAGGTGTAAAGGCATCATTATCATGTGTCTGTCTCTTTCTCCAGGAGAGCCCTGCAGGGTGAATTTTGTTCCTGTCTGGATTTGTACCTGAGAGCTGTCCTCCCACTGCCCATGCTTCACTTGTTCTCACAATTGGCCTGTTTTTTGCAGAATCATAGAAGAAAAAAAAACACTGCGTTTGTTCATGTGGATTAGTCACGGTTTGCGCTGGTGACGACAGTGGCCATATGGCAGCCGCTCAGACTACAGGAAGACAACTCTGAGATTTGCACTGCCTCTGCTGCCACAAAGAGATGTCAAATGCATTTTTACTAATACTGGGAGACAACTGAAACATTGTATTATGATTATTCTATTTCATAAGCACAAAATTCAGTTGTCTAATTTTATTCAAATTCCGTCTTGCCACAATTCAAGCATGATTGAAAAGAAGTCCAATGTGTTGTGTGGAGAGGTTTGATTGGTCTTGCCTCTGTCTCTCTAATGACATCTGTTTAGATGATGTTTTATGAAGTGTTGTAGTGCAGTTATGGTTATGCCGAGCAGATTACTGGCCATTAGTAGCACAGAGGGGTGCCTTTTCAAAATCTGGTTATTACCACCAGAGCAAAACAGCTTGAAGCATTAAGAATATTTGGGCCATATTTCAATGTGTTGCTCATGATTGCCACATTACTAGCCAAACTAAGTCCGGGAACATAAAAAGAGTTGGAAAGGAAATAGAAAGAACTTACAAATTGCAAAGTATTTTTACACTAGACAACATAATATAAAATACATGAGTTGTTTTTGGAGTATAAGGCTGTTTACTTGAATTCATCTAGCTTCCTTTTGATTGGATGCAGTAGAGTTGACAAGACAAGAGCATACGCCACTGTTGCATAAAGGTGTGGATAATTCATGTCATCTTTTGTACTGTCACATTAGTCACTGTTGGAGAGGAGATGTTAGCAAGGAGTAGTCACGGCTAACATAAAAGCCTCAGCCATTTTGTTTGCATGGCCCTGAAGGGGACAATCTAACGTCTCTTTATCTCTTCCTGTGTGGACTATATCTCCTCTGACTTTAGGTTGTGGTTTACTCTATTCCTGTTCATCCAGGGAATTGCTAACACGACTTTCTTCAGGCTTGCAAGCTTTGAAAAGTTAATCTATTTTACAGTCTGCTGACAGAGCTGCTCAGATGGGAAATGTATCAACTTGGTTCTTTGTAGATATACATAATGTAATAAAAAAATCTTATTGTGATTTTTCTGACAGTGACGTATTGTGATTGTGGTTAAATCTGCGTTGTACATGTAAATAAGATGCTGCTTATTTTGCTCATTTTAAACACATACCAAGAGCTGAGATAGCTTTTCAGAATACTTTGTAGAGATCTATAAACTACAGGGTAAGCAGTTTTTTCCCCCACAATATCAGTATTTTTTAATGGTTGAACATTCCTAAATAATTGCAAGATTTGTGATGTGATAATTCTACAAATTGCAATTTTGATTCCTTTGTGATATTTGTGCAACCCTAATATATGGACAGTGAACAGATAAATAGAAAAGTGGTTTACTGGAAAGGTGAGTGAAAGCCCAAGTTGCTTGTGTTGGTGTCAGAGTTCATACCTGAAGCGTCCTGTCTCTTTGCCATAGGTTCCATAGGTTTTCTCCAAACCAGTGTCCCCACTTCTTCACCGGTGAGACAAACTGAGCACCTGCAAGGAACAGGAATAGATTGAGGTCAGACAACCTATTTTATGAAAACATAGTTAACATAATTATAATTATATTTAAGACACATTCTGTAACTGTTATGGAGCAGTATATTTGACACATAAACTGTATGACAACACCATTATTATTATTGTAATTAATGTTTAAATTCTCAGAAATTGTGCCTTGTGTGTATGTCTATGTGTTTTGGATAGAATTTTGGGGAGTTTCTTTTTAGAAACTATCAATATTCCTGTATTTTTCAACTATTATTTCAAACTGATCAAACTGATGTAAACATATTACACATATTTTAACAATTAGAAAAAACATGTAAACCTGTCATGTACACTTTACAAAGACAACACTGAGATTGGACAAAGTTATATTTCCATAGTGAAGATAGTTTAGGGTCAAAAGACAGAAGGACTGTTTATCAAAAAGGAGGGGAAAAAAAGGCCCTGCTTTGTCAGAGCATGTCTGATTTCCTGTTAGGTCTTGAATGCACTTCAAAATAAAAAATTCAGCAGTACTTAAAGGCTCTTGTTTTTCTTGGTGCTGAATTATGATCAGCTCTAACCTTGCTCCACACTCTGCTCCCATTAAATATACGGCTCATTCCCGCTGTCTCCGTTCATATTTCACTAATGCACGTCTAATGGGGGCATCTTTAAGTACCTACACACACACATTTCCTTTTAAGCCTTTCCGGACCTCTCTGTTGTCAAATCATCATTCAGTGTTTTTCCTTTAGTTTTCAGGCAGGCTAAGACACTGGAGCTTTGAAGAAAGCCTTTCTTTCTTTTTTTTTTTTTTTTCTTTTTTTTAGCACCCCTGATAACACAAATGCAATTCACCTAACATTTGCAGAATACAGCACTTATATCATCATATCTCACACTGCTCCTCAATACTGGTACACCAACAAGATGATTTTAGACTTCAAGTAAAAATAGTTAAACTATACTTAAAATTAGTACCTATACTAATGCAATTAAGCAACTTGTTATAAGCGGTGGATAGATGATTTGGTATAGATGACTTGGTATCTTAGATAGAAGACTTTGTTGTCCATGCTTTTTCATTGTCATGCTTTTTTTAGCTGAGTACCTGAGATTAACTTTTCACAATTCTCTCCCACCAATCCTTACGGCTGGGCAATATGATGACAAAAATGTAATCCTGATTTGATCCCACAGTGTTGTTGTTTTAGTGAAATCAGGATATTGAGATTCAGTACTTTCTTCTAGTGTTTTTTTTTTTTTTTTTGCAATTGGCACACAACTGAAGGTGCATTACTGCCACTGTCCAATATGGAGGTTTGGCCAGGAAAGCCCTATAATTCCTTAAATTCTCTTTGCTATAGCCTCTATACAACAACCCTGCAACAGCTCTATTTTAAGATTTAGTACTTCTTAGTTTAATGCAGCTTTATGCAAAAAAAAATCTAATTTTTTTCCACCCACTCCTCCTATTGTTCATCTTATTGTTTGACAGGCAGATTTACCCAGTTACAGTGAAATGTGAACTCCCAGAAGAAGCACATAACTCTCTTTTGTCCTCAAGCGTCAATTGTTTCTTTGTGTGTTTACAGTTCTGACAATTTAAATGCATATGAATGACAGGTTTTCATGTTTTATTTTGTTTTGTTTTGTTTTTTTAATTCTTACTTGGTTTGGTTGGATGAAAATATGAAAAGAAAAGAGAAAAAAGTAGCAATGAGTTATAAATGAAAATAACTCTACCTCTGCCATTAACTCCAAAAATTCCATCCAAAATGCTGAGAGAATTTACGTACAAGGCATTAATCTGCTATTTTAAACATTCATGTAACCAAATAAATATGTTGTTATTTATTTTATTAATGTAATCATAAGTTTTGTGCAATTTAGTCAGATTTGGGGCCTTGTTAATGGTTGCTAGGTAACAGCTGTGGAATTAAAAGAGCCAGAATAACTTTAAACTTCCTGAATATTTGAAGAATGTTGAGGAACCTGAGGAAAAGCACATTTCAGAGACACATATTTTCAAGGGATTTTAAAAGAATCCTCTCAAGTAGATGACCAGTGAAGCTGATATTTTTTTATTTTATTGTTATTATTTATTTATTTATTTATTTTTTGCTAGATATTTG